AGGTTGAGCCTCTTTCAATTACCTTGGGCTCAACCTCGCCCGAGATCGAACCCGAGAAAAATGACAAAGGCTTAGAAACCTCGAGGTTGCATCAACTTTTTCTATCACCAACCGTTGACCTCAGACGAAACCTCGCCCGGGGTTCATCGTTTCTTATGAAACTCGGTCGGGAAATCATAACTCTCGCCCGAGGTTCATAGTCAACTTTAGCAGAATCATGACGAAATACGAAACTAAATTTAAAAATGACAACATGTTTCAAAATCAAAGCAAACAAAATAGCAAAATTACTTTTCAAATGTAGTCCAATCTTAAGAAGAAATCAAAAACAGCAAAATTAAAGGCAATGGTTGTTGTGAATTAAATGATTCCCGGGCGGGAATTAATATGACCCCGACCGAGGTTTTTTCCAGCGGTGATGTCTTATAATTAAGGATATTTTGGTCATTTCATCTCCTCTGACACATCATTAATGCTTAAAGTAGGACATTTTGACACATTTAAAAATGGTGGGTCATTTGAGTATTCCATCAACTTCAATCTGACACATCATTAATGCTTAAAATAGGACATTTGGACACATTTAAAAAGGGTGGGTCATTTGAAGATTTCATAAACTTTTTTGAAGGTCATTTGAGTCAATTTCCCATATATTATAAGGGATGTTAACATGGGAGACACCTAATATGTTTCTGTTTCCAAGATTTTCATGATGAGTTTTTTAAATTTTTACCCTACATTTTTTTTATATGTTCTCTTTCATCCACTTTTAATTTTTAACTTTATATTTTAAATAAATTAAAATTATCTTTTTAGAAAAATATTAAAGTTGAAAAAAAATTTATATTTAATATTTTTTTATTATATTAATATTAATTAATTTGTTCGACAAAATACCATATAAAAATTAATATATATGGAATTAATAATAAAAAACAAACTTTTAAATTAATAAAAACAAATCTATAATTATATTAAAGTAATGTGTAAATAATATAAATATTCGTAAAGATATTTTGGAATATTATATAATTTAGAATATTCCCAATAATAAATCCTACAAAAACAAACATCGCAATCTAAATATTTCCAAACATCCTTATAAATTTCCATACAAAATAAATGTGGCTGTCTAAAGATGCTAGACGTCTGAAATATCTGAAGATGTCGGACATCTAGATTCCAAAAAGGACAAACTACCTAAAAGTTATGCTTGATGGTTCATATTATAGTTGGTAGTTAATTAAGTAGTGGATGAATAGTTGTAAGTTGGAGGATTTGTAGGATTAATTGCTCAGTGAAGGAGTGCTATTGGTTAGGGAAAATTCAATTAGTAGGTTAGTGGTGAGTTATTTACTTTTTCTATAAATACTTATAAACATTTCTCATTTCACGTATCAGTAAACAAAAGTTCTTCCGTCGTACAATTTCATGTTCATGTTGGCAAGCCTAATCTGCCTCTCCAATGGCAAGAAGTCCTTCAAAGAAACACAGGTATTATGCATCACATGTAACAGAGAGACACCTATGTCAATTTCACTTTCATCAATAGCTTGGGAGCTATGTGCACCATCCACATTTGGACTGTCGGTGACCGAGTAATAGATGCGCTCAGTCGAGGCAAGGAGATGGGAAGCGACGGGCTCTACAATGGAACCCCAGCCAGATACGGATAGAAGAGAATTAAGGGTAACCGGTAGATCGTCCAACACGGCACGAGGGTCCAGAATCAGTAAAGGCATGTATTTGCAGAAGCCACCTGATAGTAGACCAAGAAACTGCAGTGCCTGCAGGAGAAAAACAGCAAATTCAAATGGTTTTAGATTTGGCCACGGATTGGAACCAAATAGCTAAAATAGATTGAAAAATAAAAGAAAGTCATTCGAGGTATTTCAAACCTCCCCTCTGTTGAGTATTCTTACTCAAGCCTTAAACCACTCTAACAATTACCTACCTCCATCTCTTCGTCTCTTCCCTCTCACTCTATTTATAACAACTTTTCCTAACAACTTCTCTATCTAATTACTAAAACACCCTTACTATTATTCTACAAATAACCCTAATTATTCTCAAGGTCATTTCTATCATTATCACCTGAACTGTATTTTTGGGATGTACTGATATCTATGTTCTGCAAATAAATTGGAGATGATAAACTTGAGAACAATCAATAAAATCTCTTTTATTGCATATTGCTGGAAGGTGCAGAAATAAGAACCATAAATCTGCCTGTTTTTACTTCTAGACTTCCAGTTCACTCTAAATGACAGCATATAGACAACAATGAATCCTAATGGCATATACTTATCGATACTTCCACCGATTCAACTTGTTTTAACCATGGTTCATGTTGTAATATAATTTTTTTTTTTAAAAAGAAACGAACTTTCCATTGATAAATGAAAAGGAACATAAAATGTTCAAAGATACAAACTCCCAAGCAATCCAGAATAGCAAAAATAAAAAGACAAAGTATCATCATGTGTATATCTAACTAGGGAAAAGGAAAGCCCCCCAATTAGCATATATCAAGTTGTAATATAAATATTAATGTGACTGTTTCATCAAAGGACTGAGTCGTTATTGCGTACCGTGGAAGGATAAACTGACACACAGCTAATTTCCACTGCATCAACGAGCCATTGCCTCTTGACGTTTCCCTCTGCAAGTTGAACAGCTGCTGCAACCTCAATTAGTACATCCCACACATCTGCAAATTAAAGGTTCAGGTAAGCTTTATAGCAAAGTATGAAATATCTCTGTATAGAAACTAATTCTGAAACGCAATTATCCCTCCAATTTGATAAACTAAAAACTAATTATGTAACTTTGTTCCCAAAATTTGTCCAAGGAAGCAGAACCTTGTGATTTCAAGTTCAGCATCAGGGTTTTCATTTTTCCCAGCTCGCTCAGTGGGAGAGAACCATTCCTGATCAGCTTGGCTTTGGCTTTCATCTTTTTTAGAACTTCAAAAAACTTTTCATCTCTTGATACTAGATCCTCGGGCGAAATCTGCACATGGCACTTCCAAGTCAGGAACACAAAAGATTAAATGAAAAATTGAAAATTCACGTCTCCTCGTAGATATGAAAGTCGCTATTTGATCTTAAAAAACGATTAACAAAAAGATGGTTCTGCACAGGTTTTACTAACATAGACAACAGGTGTCACATGCACATGGATTTAACACCCACAACGAACACAATGAAAATTCTCTAGAAAATATGGATCCAAAGCCAATAATAAATATTTCTTTTTAGGTGGTCTAGGAGCTGCAACTCAATCAATTAGTTATGAAATACCATTAACTCTATGTGTATTATCAATATCTCTACGTGTGATTCGTTGAGACATAAACTTCTACCACTTTTTTTTGAGAAAAGGGATGAAATGCATTGAATAGATATCTTCATTTTTATATTCATTATTCAGATTTATGAACTAAATTAGATAGTTATATGAGTGAAGGAAAACTTAAATAAATAAAAATTAGCAATCATAATTTTGAGTCTTATTGTCTATTTATAAGAGATGAGTAAGAATAAACATAGGCACAAAGAGGTGGAGTCATGTACCTGAAGGAACTTCAGCAACCATGTCTGCCGTGCCTTGCCTAGGCATCGTATCGCCTCGAACCACTCTTTTGGGGAGTGTACCTCATCTACTTCTGTGTTGGTACAGGAGGGCAATGTGGGTAGCATGGTAAAAAGAGCCTCCATCAAGTTTTCAATATGAGATACGCATTCTAAGGAATCGAGAGAAGCCTCTTCAAGACATTGGTAGAGGCCCTTCCAACATGAGATGCTTAATAAGTGCTTCTCATAATTGTTATAGAGTTGATCCGAGTAAACAGAAGGCAAGTATCTTGTCATGTCATCAAGAAGTTTCTCAACCCTCGAATTGGAGAATACTTTCACGAGATCTGCCAGGTGAATGAGCAGACATGACTGCAGATTAAGCACAAGTTTCCTGAACCTCGAGATGTCGGAGAGCTCATCAAGAAAAATAAGTAGTTCGTCGAATTGGTTTGCATGTGCTAATGAGAACTTCAAGCATTCCTCCTTTAGACTACCCTTTCTAAGAGCAGAACCTGGTGGCGGCAATTCAGAAACTTGATCCTCATATCTTATGCAGCGCCTGATAATTGCTCCCCAGTCCAAGGTTGGCAATCTGGGAGCTTGAGAGAGACACCGTAATGTGGTTACTACGGTGTCAATATGTGTAGTTGCAACTGTCTGAAAGTTTGAAGTATTAGATTTTTCAGACTAAGCTTTTCAACAAAATAAATTGTACATGTAGCTGACAAGCCCCCAGAGAGCGACAAATTGCTTCAACAAAGTATTACTAGGCATTAATAAGATTTGTTAAGGTCACCAAAAGACTTTTTTACGGGAACAACGTTGACGATATTTTCAAACAAGAAAAAACTTCTTGGTTAAAAATATGAAAATTAATAACTGTTCAGGATACAAACTCATAGAGTAGAGAAGAAAAGACAGAAAACGACAAAACAAGATAAGGAAAGCTCAACAAGGAGCAATAGATCCAGGCCACTTAAAGAACAATTGACAGTTGATGCTCAAACTAAAAAATCCCCTGATTCTCTTTTCAATTGATGAGAAGCAACTCTCATTTTTATCAAAAGGCAATTACATAGGAAAGGGGGACTAACTTGCCAAACAAACACAATGAAATTTGGAGAATACAAAAAACTCAGAATTGTTGATTTAATTAACAAGCTTTGGAACAGGATGCAGGGAACTTTTGGAAAAGTTGATCAGAGAGTAATAGCTACAACTTTGAAGAAAAATGTATCACCACTACAAGAGTCAAAAGAATTTTTTTTTTCCCCTTATGTGTTTATTCTGTCAGCCAATTTAAAACTCCTTTCTCTAATACCTTGGATAAAGAGAGAATAATTTATCCTCCCCCTTTACCTATTACTTTCTTTGTTATGAATTTATTTCTTATCAAAGAATAACAATAATAATAATAATAAACTACAAGTTCTTTTAGGAGGAAAAAAACCCCCAAAACTTCCATTGCAAAAGACTCAAAGAAGCGGTTATAGAGTGCCATCCAAGGAGCCAAAGGACCTTAAAGAAAGCTACTTAAATTTGAAATTGCTAGTTCCAGTCAACATTTTGGTATAAGCTCCTTTAAGAAGTAGGATCATGTGGAGTTATCGTTGTTGCTTGTGTTTGGATTTTTTCGTATGAAAAAGCTTCAAAGAAATGGACTCTTTGTAGCAGTAGACATTTCAGTCACTATGTAGGTCAATCTCCTGGGGTGCCCAGAATTATGAAGTGAAATTAGAGGGATTTGACCCTTAAGTAAAGAAAAAAGGAATTTAGTTTTCTGTAGGTCTTGAATACATTGTAAGGATGAACCTTCCATTTTGATGTAACTTAATCTATCTTATACTTCAGCTCTAATAAAGTTTATGACAGGTGGAAGGAATGGTCCTACTTGTACACAACTAAAATATTTAAATACTAGATGATGCCAAATATATGTCTGAACGTATGTATGATTCATAGATTCAAACAAGAGCCAAACAGGAAATCAAAAGAAACTTACCCGTGAAAGATTCACTTGCATTAGCAAATTGCATAGTCTCATAACTACACCATCCATTTGGAAATTTTGAGGTATAGATCTGGAACCAGCTACATTGGTCTCATTTAAGATCTGAAGCTTTGAAAATTGCTTTGACCAAATATTATGTCTAAGGAATGAAACTGCCCATGCTGCATATTGCTGCAATTGGTTGTCATCAGAATTCTGTGCAACAAGATACATCTCTTGCATCAATGACGTCAACAGTGGCTCACAAACGTGACTTGAAAGTAGCGGACCCATAAGATGAGAAGATTCCTGTTATGAAAATACATTTTTATACCAGGAAACCTATTAAGAAAATGAAGAAAAACATAGAAGTAGAAACACATGTTACCATTAGGTCATGTTCAGCTTGCACTGATGACGTTGTAGTAGGATGCACATTAAACAAACTTCCAACGCCCACCCCCATTGAATTAACTACTCCAAGCATTCCGCCAAAATGGATCATCGGATTGTATGGATTAGAATAACACCTTCTAAATAACTCCAGCAACTCCTTGACACATCCAACTTCAATAGAATGCACCCCCTCATTTAAAATGCAAGCAAGAAGGTTCCCTGCTCCTATGCATGATGCCATCATCAAATTCTGGTGGGATGTACTAGATCTTTTAACAGATAACAATTCGGATATAATCTCCTTATATGTGTTTACTAGATGGTCAAGTTCATTGCCATTAATCAACTCCAATCTATGACAAAACATCATTATGGTTGGTAGTGCGAGACAGGATCCAACAGACAAACTTCTGCTAGCATCTTCATCAAATGAACCAGAGCATTGAAGCACAGAATTTCCATGAGGAATCCATGAGGTAATCAAGCTTTTAATCTTCAGGACAGCATCATATTCTCCAGCTTTGTATATTGCAACAATGGTGTTAGCCAGACCAAGAATTAGTCCAGCAACACCCCACACTTCTTCTTCTAAGTCACCATTCTCATGCAACAGCTGAGCATCTACACTGATATCGAAAGAATGCACTGGAAATAGCACCGAGAGATCTTCCAACATATCTTTCGAAGATTTTGTGAACTGACATATCATCAAAGATAACGCCCTAACTATAGCTCCAAGTAACTCTACTTCCTCTATCTTGGTTGTCTGCTTATCTTTGTCCAACTTAGATTTATCAACAATTTCAACCCTGGAAAGGAGATCATGACTAGAATAGCCTAACCCAAGACCGCAAGCTCCTTTAACGAGGATGCTTTTGCTAACACTCAAAACCTGAAAATGAGATTCATGTCATTTAACGGAAAAAATATATAAAATTAATAGTAATCATAACCCAATAAGAAATTTGCAACTTTTTTATTTGGCATAATGTCATGCAGAACTAAATATTCATCTACTTTTAAAGAGCACTCCGCACGGATATAGATATCATGTTTAAGCATAAGCCCAAGGTCCTGACTATCCTATCCCTGAATTGATACCTTAGCATGTAACTGTAACACAATCAATTTGAATCATGGCTTACATACACACCTTATTGTGACACTAAAAGGTCGTACATGAAACATATGAGGCATTTAAGTTGAGTTGTTACTAGATATCTCACGCAGTTATCATACTTAAAGATTCTTTAGAACACATCATAGAAAAACTTATTCAAATTCATCAAGGATCTGCATACCTCAAGAAGTCCAGAGATGTTCTGAAATTTCAATTTATGATCAGTGACATGTAGGCAGCTGGAGATTATTCCAAGAGATATAGCAGATGGCCATTGACGATGCTCGTGCTCATACTGGAACAACCAATTTAACAGAAACTTGGAAGCAGTTGATTTCACAGCATGAGCAGACTGAGGCAAGACCTGATAACAGATAGGAAAGCCACAATGACATTTGTGATATTATCATCACTGAAATATGTGTTTCCAATTAAAAAGAGGGGAAAAAAGATAACATAAAGGAAATCCATACATACTATTAAAAAAATAAAATTTTTAAGAAAGCTCAGATTCTCATTAGTGATATTGTTAAAGTATTAATAAAGAATTAAATTTATCCTAACTCATCCGCTTAAGCTTTTGGGTTCAATAATGATTTAGTATGGCATGAGAGCAAGAGGTTCGGTGTTAAAACCTCTGGAACGTCACTTCCTCTCTAATTAATATTGATCATCGTTTGTTAGGCCTTATGCAAATTACCAAGTCCACGGTGAGGGAGTGTTGAAGTATTTATAAAAGATTAAATTTACCATAACCCATAAACTTAAACTTTTGGGTTCAATAGTGATTTAACAGATATTTACTAGATGATCCCTACAACAACACTAATAAGGCTGTTGTTATAGGCCCACAAATCTAAAAATGCACAAAGATTAAAAAGAATTAAATTTACTTCTTAATGCCATGGCAAGGAATAGACTCTGTTGACCTTGCCATCCTTGTGATAATAACATTTCCATACAAATTTATACTCCAAATTATTAACCACAGTTTGTATTGAATACCAGAAACAATGATAACATGATATTCAAGAAACTTTAACGAAAGGCATGGACATTTTGACAGTCAAATTTAAAGTTGCTCGAGAATCAGATTGTAGAACAAAAAAATTTCTGGAGCAAATTATTACCATACAAAGTGCACCCATAGCAAGGGCCATATTCTCAGCAGATCTAGGCAAAGCTTCTTCAGCAGCATGTATTACAATCTGAATGACAGGAACAAGAACATTACTACTATAATTTCAACATTTTATGAACTGTTGTACATAAATGACATGAAAGTAAAGGTACAACTACAAAATGGAGAAGTAAAGGCAATGGGAACCTTCAAAATGTCATTAGCAGCTTTACAAGTTTTATCTGACATAACTGCAGTATCTCTAACATCAAAGGACAAAATTTCAGACTTCAACCAGCGTTCCATAAACGGTTTCCATGATTCCAGGGCTAAGACAGCCATGACAATGTTTCTTGAAAGTTGAAGAGATTCAGCAATTTCACACAGTGCATTCTCATAACTGGCATGTTTATCTGGTGTTCTCTGAACAAAAAACTGTCATGTTAATGGAAAGAAAAATCTTTCAAAATGATAATTATCAACTCTTACTCTTGCTGGATCATTCCCTTTTCTAGAAGAAAAAGAATGACATAGTAGGGCAGCAGCAGGCAGTTCCTTGACATTACTTCTGTTCCCTGGAAACGAATATAAGAAATTTAAAAATTTACACAAATAAACACTGTATCAATATTCATGGGGTTCCATCTCAAATCAATTGGCTATGAGAGTAGTCCATGTCTATTATAAACCATTGCTAAGTCCCTTCTTTTATCAATGTGGGATCCTTAACATGCCCCCTCAAGATGGTGCCTCTTTTTGGGTTCACCAATCTTGGATCGGATCCCATTTTGGACCGAATGCTCGTTGGAGCTTGTGGGCTCTGATACCATATCAATATTCATGGGGTTCCATCTCAAAACCAATTGGCTATGAGAGGAGTAGCCCATGTCTATTATAAACCATTGCTAAGTCCCTTCTTTTATCAATGTGGGATCCTTAACACACTGGAAGCAACAACTTCCCAGATGAAATGCTTAAACTAGTAGACCAAAATTTCAAATTGAACCCCCGCCTCCATGAGGAAAAAAGAAAAATCATAATTTATAGGATATAACCTTAAGCCCTCATTTAAAAAAATATTACTTTTGCTAATTTTCAAGTGTGATTTTTGCATGTCATTTCTCTATTTCATCTTACCAATTCGTTCGAGTATGATTGACTTACAGTTGTTTTACAAGGTTACCATTTTTTTTAAGATCAATATTCAATATTGATTCCATGAATTTGTTAGTAACTTGGTAAAGATAAACATTTCATCTTCTCTTGAACATAAACTAGTAAGTAGTAACCAACCATGAAATAATATATATGGGATTTCAATGAATCACAAGTGTTTTTCTGAGTGTGGATCCTATTTTAATGGGAGTGAAGTCACACATTTTCAGTAGTGTAGACTCCTCTGGCTCACAATTTATTGGACAGGAACATATAAAATTTCAATTCAAGTAATAGATAGTACAGTCGATATTATTACCCAACAACCAACTTGAATCATTAAAATCAAACAAAATAATTATTACAAAAGGGATCCCTTCACCCAGGACTTTCATAACTAATAAGAAATACAGATGATATCTGGTGAGAATGCAAAAAACATAAAGAACCTATAAGTTTAATTTTTACATGTGTAATTTATTCAATTTGATTTTAGCTAGCTCTTCAATAACTAGCTAAAATAACTTATTTTGCTGTCTCACTAGCTCTTCAATAAGATTTAGCTAAAATAACTTTCTCTAGTTTATTGACACGCCTTTCTGCTTAGTTTGTGATGCAAACTGTAGATAAGACTTTTATTTCAATTGATTCGCTTGGTTACAAAGTTACTGGTATTTCTAGATGTATAAACCATAACTAACCTATTAACAACTAACCAACCAACTAACAAAAAACCTTAAATGGCTATAAATAGACTAGATGGCAGCCTTCAACGGCTAGTTTATTAGAAAGGGGTAAATTTTCAAAGAAACCCACTACATCAGTATGTTGGTCTGGTTTCAATCTGATGCAAGTGATTTTTTTGTTCAGTCCTTTTGGTTGTAAATGTTTTGTTATGGTCCTTTGTTTTGTGTTTCCTTGAATTGTTTGTGGTAATGCACATTCAGTTGTATATACATAAAATGATAGGAATAGGATAGCAAGATTATCTCAAGTTGATAAAGTCAAAATCTTGCGGACAAAGCCATAGGACCCATTTATAGGAGGTTAGTTTTTTTGGGTGAGGAACAAGTGGTGAAAGTCTTTTGGAAAATTGCATTCTTGTTTCTTCCTCTTGGACTGCTTTGCATAAGAATTTTTGTGATTATATCCCTTCTTTAATTTGTGCCAATAAGAGAGAATTTTAACATTTTTTGGCTATTGCAGGCAATTACATTGTATATTTCATTTATCCAATGAAAATTGGTTTCTTATAGAAAAAAAATATATATATAAAAAATTCTTTTGGATTAATCTATTATTCAAATTTTAGTGGGATACTAGTTAAAATTTACTAAAAGTGTGAGTGGTGTTCTTTTCTGCTCAGGTTGTTGGTGTTTAGTTCTTTGGTGTAGTTTTTCATAAACTAATTATTAATGATCTCTCCTGATTGCATTAAAAAACTTAGGAAGAAAAATTTCTCATACTGCAAAAATAAGAGACTATAGCGTGAAATCCTTGTACGTGATAGCTACGTCATAAATCATATAATACCTGATGAAAAGAGAAGACGAGGAAAGACATCTAGTAGCTTCTCAATCTTACTTCCTGCAACTCTCTTCTCCTTTACCAGTCGTCTTCGGTTACTGGAACACATTGGGAGAGATTTATTAAATATCAGAACTTTTTTCCCGAAAGAAATTGAAGCAGGAATAGATTATAATAAATGCATATTTCAACCTGTGCTCATAAGCTATAATCTTGACCAGAAGATCTTTTATGGCACTGAGGATGTTCAAATCTGTCTCGGTAGAAAGAAGCGACGTGCACCTTTCTTTGAAATCAGAAATATTCTCGAGAAGGGGCACCTGGGAAAACATGAGCAACAGAACCAAAGGACATAAAAAAGGTGAATAAATAAATTGAATGAATGTATTGTTGCCAGACTGACTACCAAAAAGTATGTGACATTGTTGATGTCATAAATGGCTGACAATGTTCAAGACAAAGGGGACTAGTCCAGGTGTTGAACTTGGTCATTGAAAGATCGCCAGTTATGTGATCCAAAAAACACATCTCTATGTTTTAATCCAAATGGAACGCGTTCTTTGTGAAAAGAATAAGAGATCATCGATCATGGTTCTAGTGAAGAAGGTTATGAAAGAAACTTTACAGACGATTTCAATAATAAAGGTATAGCTTAAGATTATCCGGATGGTGGGAGGTTTAGAAAATCAGTTTACCATACATGGGGAGATAAGGAATATGGTTTATCGTGTGATTAGGCTAATCGCCTCTTTATGGGCATTCAATATAGTACTTGTTTTTTAATCACAGCCAGTAGAAATTATTCATGTAATCCCAAGACCTATTCTTAGGGTCAACCCTAGTCACACATACTGTAAACATAGCACATTAATACAGTTGTTTATTTTATCAAAGAAGAAAAAGGTCGCTAACAACTTGAGAAATTGCTCCCTCTTAAATTTTACCTCATACTGTGCTAAGGCATCAAAAGCAGAAGCCTTAGCCTTTGTCCACTGTAAATCGTGTTCACAACTAGTAGTCGATGTACCAACAGCAAAAAGAATTCTTATAATGTCACTTGAAGCATCCGGATAGACTTCAGCATCAATCGCACCCCACCTGAGAAGATTGCAGAGACTGCCGAAAAACCAAATTGTCCTCTTAAAAGGATGAATAACACAAGTAGTTACAAGCTAAAGTTAACAACTAAACGATTTCACAGTGTCAACCAAATTGGAAAAAGTATTTGTCCTTTAAAAATTGATATTGTTAGTAACATCAGTTATAAATAAGATCATATTAGGAGATACTGAAAAAGAAAATACATCGGCTTTGTTATGAAATAGTTTGATTAAATAAAAGAGGTAGGAAGTCTGATAGGCCACCATTTAATTACACTTATACAAGAAGGGTTTATGAGTCTGATTAGCCTGCGGGGACAGGCTGCTTCTATTATCAGAGAGGCACTGACACATAAAGCCACCTGTCCCATGATCTACCCAGCCCGCACATACTAATTAGACTTGCAAAACCCTTCTTCAATTTGTTGATCAGAGAGTGCAGATGCCAGATTCCTCTGAAGTGTTATCTTGTCAACCTCTATTATAGTAGTTCCTATGATCATTTCATTTCCCTCATCTTGCACAAGAAGATTTAGAAGTATCACTACCTCAAGAAGGTTAAGAATGTTGATTCTGATCCTCATCCGATTATTGTGGTCTCTGTTCTAAATATGGCATAAGTACTCACAATAGATTGCATGCTAGACAGCAAAATAGATGCCTTATGTAACAACCCGTATTTTCTAATACGGTCATTCTGACAAAATGCGGAAACGTAACTTTCAAGAAACCTTAAGAACAAAAATTATTCAGCGGAAGCAATTTCTTTACAGAATTTTTCTAAACTAACTTAACTAAATAGGAGGATGACTATCAAACTCATGCCAGTATGCTAAACTTCACCTTCTACCAGAACGATCATTCAATCCTTCATCTGAAAAATATTTAGGAAAACAAAGATGAGTACAAAAATACTCAATAAGCAATTTCCATATCGAATTTCGAAATTCATTTTCCTTTCAAAACAAAACTACGAACAAATCAAAACTTTTAAAGTCCTTTAAAATGTTTAATACAATTTTCAAAACTTTCAAAATAAACTAGATTTTCGGAAACAAAGTCTTCAAATAAGATAAAATTTTCAGTCAATCAAAACAAACTTTCATTCTTTCATAACAAACTTTAATTCGATCAAACTTCAAATCCTTCAAAACAAACTTTCTTTCAATCAAAACTTTCAAACTTCATTCTAAAACACTTGGTACAATTTTCCAACTTTTGAATAACTAAATCATTCAACATTAAAACAATCTTACATTCATTCATACTTTCAAAATCAGAGTGGAAGGTTGCATTATTTGGGTAGCCTACAGAACATATGTGGTTACCCGTCGGTAATACCAAATCAATCAGAAGCTTCTATCAGAGTTGTCGAAATAATATCGACCAGAACAGAGTTGTCGAAATAATATCGACCAGAACAGAGTTGTCGAAATAATATCGACCAGAACAGAGTTGTCGAAATAATATCAACCAGAACAGAGTTGTCGAAATAATATCGACCAGAACAGAGTTACTTAAGTGTGAGGTCATGTGAGTGAATAACACACACATGAATCTTCATTCCCAAGGAATGCCAAACCGTGTCCTCCCACAAATAAGCCAGAACAGAAATCCATCAATTCTAAATTAGGCTACTACCCCTAAAAGCAAAACGTTCCTCAAAACAAAATCATGGCATATCCGGATAGCCCTATCAAATCAATCAAAATATCTTTCAAATAAAATGCAAAACAAATACTTACTTTCAATATTAAATTAATTCAAAACATTGAAATAATTTAAAACAAACTTTATCAATCCTCTAAAACATGATTTCAAATATTTCACAAATAAACAAAATATCAATTTCAAACCTTTAAATAAATCTAAACAAAACTTTATCAAATCATTTAACAATACTTCAAATACTTTGCAAATAAACATAATTTCAATTGCCAAATTAGTTTTCAAATCCATAATAAAACTTCAATTTCATATGCAAGATATCAATTTCAAATCTTCCTATCAAATCCAAAATACATTTTAGTTTTTGAAATACGACAAATCACTTACAACACTTTTCGAAGGGATACGGTAAATAACTTACAACACTTTTCCGAAGGGATATGACAAATTACTTACAATACTTTTTCGAAGGGATATGACAAATTACTTACAATACTTTTCGAAAGATACGATAAATCACTTACAATACTTTTTCGAAGGGATATGACAAATTACTTACCTCTTTCAGAAATCCTACGAATCTAATTTACTTCTTCCTGGGTAGATATCAACTTAGAGGCCTAGAAACAACCAATATCCAAAATCAATTCTTAAATCCTATCCAAGGATTTAAAATTCAACCAATTACTAACTCAAATCCTATCTACCCAAWTTTCCCATTCAAAACACTTTTTTATGTAAAATAATTAGGAAAGTATGGATTTGGGGCTACAAAACCAGATCTGAAAACTAGGTTAAAAAGCCTCTAAATTCAACAATAACAAATTTTAAAACTAGAAGAATCGATATAAATCAATACGAACAAAATTTACAAAAAGGTTCTCAATAAAACCAGCTTAAAAACCTTCTAAACAATTGAAAATTTGGGGATTTTAAATCTGAAAAATTTTCTGTTTTATAAAATAAAACTTCCAAGAATTTTCCATAAAACAATTAACAATTTATTGATTTTTATAGAAAAATCAGATCTGAAAACTTTATAGAAAACCTTTAAATTTTGGTAAAAACATATATTTTTTCATGTAAAAATCATAACAACAGACTATAATTTATAGGATACAAATAGGTAAACTTTTTATGGAAAAAAAGTCTCAAAATAACTCAAAAACAGTTTCATAAACAAAAAGATTCAAATCAAAAATTCTGGAAAATTTTTAGGATAAAAAGTCCTTACAATCTTTTATTCTAAAAAACAAAGACCTCAAAACTTTTCCCAATAAACTGAATTAAAGAACTACAAATCAAGAAAAATAAAACTAAAACAATGAGAAGAAAATCTTACCGATCTTTGAGAGAAAATACCAAACTCTTCTTCTTTTCTTTTTTCTCTTGGAGAGAAAACTAGGTCTAACAGTTTAAGAAAATAAAACCTAGGGTTTAAGGGCTTTTATAACAAATCCTAATGAATCCTTATTTAAAAAGGATAATAAAAAGATAAAGATTTAATAAAACTCTTTCTTTTTATTTTTTTCAAATTCTGAGAACAACTTATCTTTCAAAAATAATTTCTAAACCATAAAGGTTTATCTTTGAGAAAATAAAAGAAAACAACTAAAAAATAATAATAATTTAAATATATATTTATATTTTTTTTCGGTTGTTACACCTTATCCAAGGCAAGTGCGCTTTGAGCAAAAAGGCCCTTGAAGAGGATGCTTCTCATATATTCCACTTTTACTCTCTTTGGGGAGAAGGTGGTTCAGGTTCGGTGCCCAAATGGCCTTCCCTTTTTGTCAGAGATTTATTTTTATCCTTCTGAATGGTTTCTGCCTTCGCAGAAATGATATTATCTTGTGAATAAATGCTACTCGGGCTTTTTTGGAAGGTGTGGTAAGAGAAAATTGTAAAATTGGAAAGGATAGGAAGGTTGTTTAGAAATATGGGATACTATTATTACTATACAACCTCCTACTGGAGTGTGGTATCTTAAGTTTTTTTTTAATTATAGTATTATTCCCCTTCTTATGTTGTCCTCAACTGGAGGGGCTTTTTGCTACTCCATTCGTCCGGCTCTGCCCCAGTATATTTCACTTGCTTAATAAAATTAATGTCATATATAAACTATAATAATTTCTTTGCTACATCTATATAACCACTCTTTCCTCATTTTCTTTTCGTAAAATCCAAGGGTGGTTCGTTGGGAGCAGTGACTAACCTTTTTGCAAGAATTGGATTTGCAGAATAGTCCAGTGGATATTCAGCAATGACTTCCCATGCCGTGTAAAAATCTGAAAAGTTTATTGTAGACTACTTAAGTCTAGACTGTCTAGTTCTTAAACTAGAAATAATTTAGATATTAATATATTATAAGAAAATAACTTATAGATAGTAAGTTTACCAATTACATCAGCTTCACATAGATGTGCAAGGCCTTGAAATCCAAGAGCTTGAATCCTGGGATCAGGGCTTTCAATACATGCCTGTTGATTGAGAGAATATACTAAATCCATCTGGAACAGAAGTGTAACAAAAAAACAAATATATAATGGTTTCCAAGAAACCTACCGAAACAGACAAGATAAGGTCCACACCCCTATCTGCATCTTTTCTGCAAACATCTCGAATTGATGCAGCCAAACTGAGACAAATCTCTCTCTCCGAAGCAAAGTCAGAAAATCCCTTGGGAATTAGGACTGTCTGCATGCACAGTGAAGAAGCAATGCAGCATTATTGCACAAATTGATATAGGTAAAAAAATGACCCAGCCAACAACCCCACCTCCCAGTTCCCAAGCACTAACAAAGAAATATGCACACAACTTACTTGCAGACTCCCAAATACACGATCATTGATTTCCCAGGTTTGACAGAGCAATCGGGTTGCTGTAGCATATAAAACTCTGGATATGAGAAAACAATCACAGTTTAGAAGGAGATATCTGAATAAATAGTAAGCCAGTGAGAATGATAAGAATATATCCTCCCTATATATGTTTTTATATACCATTCCTGCAGAATGAATACTTTGACACTTTTAAAACTGACCAGAATATGTAACAGAACAATGATGATTAAATAATCCTAACTTCTCATCCATGACTAGAGCGCTAGAGGCCTTGTAGCTGCTGCTAAATGGGCAATTATCAAGGATTCTATTTTGAATTGCATCCAGGCTATACTGATCCTTGTTGAAACAAAACTCTCTGCTATTGTTAGTGAAGTCAATACGGAGCTCTAGAAACAGTGGTTGGGCATTTTGGGAGCTTAATGTTCCTTGGGTGTTATTCTTGTCTAGTGGAGGGGCTTCATTTCTTTGAGGGAAGTTATCTAAGGTTCTTCCACCATCTCTCCTTTCCTTCTTACCTTAATTGGAGATTCTTTCAACCGCCTTGTAAATCTTTACTGTGAAAAAAGGATGATTCGAGGCTTCGAAATAGGCAGAGGGAAGGAGCTGGTTTCTCATTTACAGTATGCGGATGACACTATTATCTTTTGTCCGGGTTTCAAGGGTAATTTGGCAAGATGGTGGAAGATTATCTCTTTATTTACAAATGTATCTAGGATGAAAATTAATCAAGCCAAAACCTCTCTTATTGGGCTGAATATTCCTGAGCAGAGAGTAGCCTCGAAAGCTGCTCTCCATGGATGCGGAGTTGAGAACCTTCCCTTTACTTATTTGGGGCTCCCCCTCGGTGGGAACCATCAGGCGATAGCTTTTTGGAGACCTTTCGTGGAAAAGTTTAGAATCAAGATGGATAAATGGAAAAAACGCTTGCTTTCAAACTGTAGAAACTAAGGTTTGAGAGAACCAGATAGATCTTATTCTCATCACTGAAGTCTATATATATAGACAAATATACAAAGTTGACCTAATCCTAGAAGGGGAAGGTAAAGGACAAATGAATACATATTATTTACAAGAATGTAAAATATACTAATATATACTCTAACACTCCCCCTCAAGTTGGTGCATATATGTTAATTATACCCAACTTGTTAGAGAGATAATCTATCCGTGCTCCCGTCAATGCTTAGTGAAGATATCTCCTAACTGCTCTTCAGTCTTCACATATCCTGTAGCCACCAATCCTTGCTATATTTTCTCACGTACATAATGACAATCAACTTCAATGTGTTTGGTTTGTTCATGAAATACTGGATTAGATGCAATATGGAGAGCTGCTTGATTATCACACCAAAGTTTCATTGGAGTGGTGATGCCAAATCCCAATTCAGTCAAAAGCTGATATATCCATACTAATTCACACACCGACTGTGTCATGGCTCGATATTCTGATTCAGCACTTGAACGTGACACCACATTTTGTTTCTTACTTTTCCAAGAAACTAAATTACCTCCAACAAATACACAATATCCTGAAGTTGATCTCCTATCTTCCTTAAAACCTGCCCAATCAACATCTGAAAAACATTCAATATTAAGATGACCATGATCTTTATATAACAAACCACGTCTAGGAGCACCTTTCAAATAACATAGAATATGTTCCAATGCGGCCCAATAGTCAGTCGTATGAGAACTCATAAACTGACTCATAATACTGACTGGATAAGCTATGTCAGGCCTAGTAACTGTAAGGTAATTCAGCTTCCCTACTAACCTCCTATACTTCTCAGGATCTTTCAACAACTCCCCTTCTTTTGTAAGTTGTAAATTAGGCATTATTGGAGTACTACGTGGCTTAGCAGCTAATTTTCCTGTTTCAGTTAACAAGTCAAGTACATACTTTCTTTGTGACAAAAGGATCCCCTTCTTGCTCCTTATTACCTCAATTCCTAATAAGTATTTCAACATTCCCAAATCTTTAGTATGAAATTGACTATGAAGAAAAGACTTGAGTGATAGGATGCCTGATGAATCATTACCAATAATCACAATATCATCAACATATACAACTAGTAAGATAACACCAGACTCAGATTTTCTATAAAAAACAGAATGATCTAACTGACTCTTCTTCATTCCAAAATTCTCAATCACCTGACTGAATTTTCCAAACCATGCTCGCGGACTTTGTTTCAACCCATATAAGGATTTACGAAGGCGACATACCTTTCCATTCTCCCCCTGAGCAACAAAACCTGGTGGTTGCTCTATATACACTTCTTCTTGAAGATCACCACGGAGGACTGCATTTTTAATATCAAGCTGATGCAAAGGCCAATGGTGAATAGATACCAAGGAAATGAATAACCTGACAGAAGCCAATTTAGCAACCGGAGAAAAAGTATCAGAATATTCAATTCCGTAAGTCTGCGCATATCCTCTAGCAACAAGGCGAGCTTTCAAATGGGCAATTGATCCATCCGGATGAACTCTAACAGCAAACACCCATTTACAACCGATAGGTTTCTTTCCTGCAGGAAGAGACACTAAATCCCAAGTAGACAATCATCTCCTCCAAGATAGCAGCCCGCCAACCAGGATGAGACAAAGCTTCATGAACAGTTTTAGAAATAGATACAGATTCAAGGGATGCAATAAATGAACAAGTAGATGATGATAAATGGTTATATGAAACAAAAGAAGAAACAGATAAGTACACTTATGCTTACCTTTTCGAAGGGCAATAGGAAGGTCATCACTCGTTCCTGGATCCACAGGCAAAGAAGCTGCTGGTATAGGGCATGAGTCTGTAGGAGGCGAAGGTTGCTGAAGAAGAATAAACTTGAGTAATAGTGGGGAGAGAAGGATCAGGTGCAGAGGGAGATGTATTGCTAGGAAGCTCTTCAGTAGAAGTAGAGACAATAGAATAGACAAGCAAGGTATCATCTTCCTGTGACTGCTCCCCCTGACTGGTACTCAAGGACGATGAAAAAGGAGTATCTTCAAATAACGAAACGTCAGAAGAGACAAGATATCTAATGAGATCAGGACAATAACATCGATACCCTTTTTGAACACGAGAGTAACCAAGGAAAATGCATTTCAATGACTTAGGGTCTAATTTGGTGAGCTGGGGGCGAACATCCCAAACGAAACAAGTGCAACCAAATATTTTAGGTTTAATAGGAAATAAAGGTTGTGTAGGACACAGAGTACGATAAGGTATTTCACCCTTACGAACTGACGAAGGCATGCGATTAATCAAGAAGCAAGCCGTCGAAACGGCATCAGCCCAAAAGTATTTTGGAACATGCATTTGAAACATTAAGGCCCTTGCTGTTTCGAGAAGATGTCTATTTTTCCTTTCTGCAACTCCATTTTGAGACGGAGTATCAACACACGAGGATTGATGAATAATACCATGTTC